TGTTCTCTCTCGCCTTTTGGGTGCTGTGGCTTGCAAAAGAGGCATTGAGTGGCAATCCTGTTCGGTCTAGAGTCTACTTTCAGCATGCTTCTCCCACCCTGGGAGGATCCTCCCAACACCCTTTATTTGGTGCTCCCTTCTCTATTTGAGCTGCCTTTTCTCCTAGCATGGGCGTCTGGCCTCCAAGCCATGGAGTAAACCTCCTGGTACTTATCTCGGCTATTCTTGGGTATTAGTCTCCTATTTTGTTACTTTATGTTCCCCAGATGGATGCAATCTTTCTATGTCTGTCTGCTAAGATAACTCATCCTACTTGTCATTGGTCCCTTCAAACCGTGTACGTCTTAGCAAGTTAAGGATGCGGTCAAAAATAAGCAGAGCCCAAGTTCATGCCATTGTCCATTCGTTCATGTAACACGTATGTCAAAAACAGGTGGGGTAGGTTGTATCATGTATTATTAGCTCTACAATCTAGGGAAAGTATAGAATTTCTCTGCACAGCGACTCTATAAATGCCTTTGTTGTGGTACAGATTGAGTGAGATTATTTCTCCGTTACAATGGCAGATAATTCGAAGTATCTCTCGACCTCCTTTGCCTATGAAGTAATAATTCATAAATAATATCCAAGTTGGGGCTGGAGCAATTATATAGTGGGTAGGGCATTTGCCTTGCACGCGGCTGACCCGGGTTTGATTCCCAGCATCCCACAGGGTCCCCCGAACACTACAAGGAGTGACCTCTGAGTGCAGAGCCAGTAGTAACCCCCCAACCCCCGTGCATCACTGGATGTGACCCAAAAAGCAAAAATTAATAACTAAATAAAAATAATATCCCAAGTCAGAAGGGTTAGCAGCTGACATGGTATAAAGTGGCAGAAAGGAACCTTTTCTAAATTGCTATCTTTCTTATGTATTGTATAAGCTTTCTCCTGATCTGGAGAGCACTTTCCATTTCCAAATTATTGATCGTTGTGAGAAAAGCCATTGATTTTATCTATTTGTCCTATAGTTTCTATTAGTCTTTCATTAATTTTAGGAGAGTTTTGTAAAAGCCACTTGGATTTTTCCAGTTCTCCCTGAGTTAATTTCGGTCATTTGTACTTTCTAGGATATTATTAACTTCCTATCTGGTCCTGGTTTTGTCATGGGATTGCATATAGGTTTTTTTTCTTTTAATAATTAAAAAAAAAGATTTTACTTGAATGTTTTTGATTCTCTGTATTTGTGGTCTTGTATCCTCTCCTGTCTTATGTGTGAGTTTACATGCTTTTGTTTTCTTCCTTCATTAGAATTCCAAGTGCACTATCTGTTGCTAAGGGGTGAAGGACTGTGTGCTTGTTTATTCTTTATGTTATTTTGTAGTTCCTGTTTCATGAGTTTTAGCTTTAATCTATGTTAATTCCCTCTTTTTGGTTCATTTGGGTTTTTTTAATCATCATTTTATAATTCCTGAAGATGAACATTGACTTTTTTCTTTTTTTTCCCTAAATGGTGAACACATTGAAGACCATACACTTTCCCATAGTCTTTGCCGATCGCCATTGGTGGGATGGAAAATGTTTATTTTTCTTATGCTTTCTAAATAATTTGTAATTTAGGGTTTGGTTTCTCTGTAGTTCAGGAGTTATCTAGGATATGTTTCTTTAGTTTCTGCTTATGGGTGGTGGTGGGGGGGAGTCTCCTGAAGTAGCATTCAGGAGGTCCAGCCAGCACCCCTCCCCTCTGCATGCCTCCCCCCTGCACTCCTCCCCCCATGCAGTTCTCAGCCAACTGGGTCATTGGTTCAATGCCTGAAGGTGTTTGGGGGCCTCCAGGGCTGTTTTGGGGGACCGTGTAGCATTTTACTCAAATCTGAGTTGAGAAAACAAACAAGGCAAGTTCCCTAACCACTGTACTATCTCCTGCCCCTGAAGTTTTTCTTTTTGAGCCTCTTACTTCAGAAATTCCTCCTTGTTTGTGATGGAAGAACCTTCATCTTCAGGGAAATGATGCCGTGTCAGGGCCTGAACCGGGGAATCTCACATGCTGCACTGACTCCCTGGTTCATCTCCCCCGTCCATTTTCTGTTTCCTCTTTAGTTTCTGTTAATTTGGGGCCCTGGGAATCAAACCCAGGAACCTGGGGCCGGAGCAATAGCACAGCGGGGAGGGCATTGGCCTTGTACGCCGCCGACCTAGGTTCGATTCCCAGCATCCCATAGAGTCCCCCGAGCACCGCCAGGAGTAATTCCTGAGTGCATGAGCCAGGAGTAGCCGCTGTGCAACGCTGGATGTGACCAAAAAAGCAAAATAAATAAATAAATGAATAAATAAATAAAATAAAACCCAGGACCTCACGCATGCGTAGAAAGTTCTGTACCACTGCGCCATGCCCCAGCCTCATCCACCTGGAGGCCCCTGGCTTGTTCTTGAACCCGACAGCTCTTCTGAGTCACCATCTTGTGAATTTGCCTGCACAAGCTCTGCACGGAGTAGGGGTGGGGGGAGGTGGAAGGGGGAGCGGGAAGACAGCTGACCTACTGTCCTCAGAGAGGGCATGTCATTGGCATACCATCCACCATGTCCTTTGTCACTGACTGCCTCCAGCGAGCTTTCCTCTGAGTCACAGACCCGCGTCAGCACCTTTGACACAGTGCCCCCAGAACTTCACTCCCCAGCGCACAGACAAGGATCATTCGAGAAGCCTACGTCTCTGTCAGGATCGTTTCCTCTTCCCATAGTCCTTTTCTCTTCCAGGAAGTCCTGCTGCTTACGGGTTGGTGCCCTGGGTCTTTGCTCCACGTGGGTTCTCTCTGATTTTTCTGCTTCCGCCAGCTCTTGGGAGCTACTTGCTTTACTCTCGACAGTGATAGCACAGCGGGGAGGGCGTTTGCCTTGCATGAGGTCTACCGGGGTTCAGTTCACAGCATCTCATATGGTCCTCCGAGCACCGCCAGGAGTAATTCTTGAGTACTGAGCCAGCAGTAACTCCTGTGCATCGCCGAGTGTGACCCCCCTCACCCCCGCCCCTCCAAAAACAAAAAAAGACAGCGGGATTTTAAATCCCAAAGCTGATTTCTCAGCTCCAGGCCCCCGGGAGGCTGTTTGGGCTGAGGTCCTACTGCGAATTCTCTCCCACTTTGTGTCATTGTTGTTTTTGTGGAGAGAGGTTCCCACTGGTTTCTCTTCCCTGCCCTCCGCTCACGAGGCTTTTCTTGTCCTCTCGATTCGAACACACGTCCAGCTGCTGGACAGGCTTCAGCAGGCTGCTCCCTTGAGACATTGGGGCGCTCGGAAGCCAATCGGGGAGACCCCAGAGGAAACCTCTCTCCTGCCTCAGGGGAGCTAACCCTCGGCCTGTCCCTGCGGTCACTGAGGCAGATTCTCCCCAGGGGCTGTTGCATCCTGGTCCCGGCTTTATCCCCAATCCAGAGTTCAGAATCAAAAAGTGCCCCCCCGCCCAAAAAAACACGACTGTGTAACTCATAGCAATGGAGAATGAGGGAGAAGGTGCCAGACTGCGCAGATCCAGAGCAGAACTGTGAGCTGTCTGGGACAGGTAGATGCCGAGGCACCCAGAAGACAGCAGGACAAGGGATTTAATCTTGGACACGGCTCTGGTATACATCTGTGCTGGATTGCCTTTTCTGGAAAGAAGATGGGGGTTGTCGATTGAGGTCTTTCAAGATGGGGGCTGGTGAGAAAGTACAGGGGTTAAGCCTATTGCCTTGCATGCTGCCGACCCCGATTCAAATTCCTGGCACTGCCCGGACTCACTTCTGAGCACAGAGCCAGGATAGCTCCCCAAGCATGCAGTGTGTGGCCCAAATTTCCTCTCCCCAAAGGTTCGGAATTTTTTTTTCTTTCTGTGTCACACCCGGTGATGCACAGGGGTTACTCTTGGCTCTGCACTCAGGAATTACTCCTGGCGATGCTTGGTGGACCATATGGGATGCTGGGGATCGAACCCAGGTTGGCCGAGTGCAAGGCAAACCCCCTCTCCACTGTGCTGTCGCTCCAGCCCCAGGTTGGAATTTTGACCCTGTAATTCTTTCACCGGACTCTTTCCTCAGAAAAGGATAGTGAAAGTAACAAAAGTTGATAGCTAGAAATAACTCAGTTGGTCATGAATTTATAATAGCAAGAGCAAGTAAGTCACTTAATTATCACACGTGAGAAAGAGTTGTGTCATATTTTGTGAATGAGCGATATGCCTTTTAAATTAGATGTTTTTAAAGGTGTAGTGGCATCTGTAGATGACCATAAGTTGTAATTATTCGTGGAAAAAAAACCACCACGTTCACACAGAAAACCTCAACCATGCAAGGTTGTATTACAGCATGAAAGAGGAAGACAATAAGGAATATATGAGGCAGTGGAGACGGACGACTAAGGCCTTCATCTTCTGCGTTTTTTATCTAGTTTCCGATTTTCATAATAAATGCATGGGGGGTAGCATATGTAACATCTTTGGTATTCCTTTATGATTAGGAAAGTAAGTATAAAATCACAATGTCATTCATACCGTAAATACACCCCCCTTGGGCATTCCACACTGTTATTCCTAGTTCAAGTTCTCTCCTTTCACACTTTGAAGCATATTCCTTCTGAGTCCAACATTTCTTTTAGGTCTGAAGCTCGCTGCCTTGCATTTGAAGGTTTTGTGAGCCATCTACACTTATAAAAACCATTTCCCAAGTGAGGTCTAATTACACGGCCAAAGCGAGTCTCCATTTACTCAGAACACGTCTCTGCCGGTCGGTGGCCTCCGTGTCCTGTTTGGCATTTCCTTCACTCCTCACTGCATAAACGACCCTGAAGTCTCTGACCAGGAGGGTCTTGAAAAGTGAGCTTTGCTCATTTTTTTTATTTCAATGAATCGCTTTTGTCTTTCTCCTGTGTCTCTTAGAGAGCACCTCATTTGTCTCATTCCTGTCTACAGGAACGTAAAATCGTCGTGAGTTTGGTTCACACTAAATGCATGGTGTGTTTCTCTGTGTTTTCTCTTTTTGGACCTCCAGGAATGTATACAAAGACTATCGCTTCCTAGAACTGGCATGTGACTCCCAGGAGGACGTGGACAGCTGGAAAGCGTCACTGCTAAGAGCCGGGGTCTACCCCGATAAATCCACAGTAAGTTGGACTTAGCTCTTACTTTTAAATGACCCACCGCGTTTTAGAAAACACAGTTATACATAATATATATACTGGACAAACTCCTCTTTGGGCTTAATTAATTTGGCACCATTTGAACTGATACTTTCCTGAGATGTCTTTTCTCTCCACTGGGTTTTAAGAATTTAATCAATGTCTGTGTTCAAGAAAATCCCCCCTGCTCAACCGCAATGCATGCTCTGCTGTAATCTTAGAAGGAAAAGAAGGTTTCTTTGTTTCAAGGCTTTACTTTCCTTTCTATCCCGTTTCTCAGTTGTTCGAGTGTTCACACAAGCAGTCCATAAAATCCTCCCTATAATCTCGTACCGCTGATTTTGCAGATTCTTTCAAAAACGGACCGACTTCTCTAAAACTCCCCGTCGGTCCTTTATGCCTGCGTTCGCTGGACCCAGAGTTACGTCTGTATTCAAACTCTTGCTTCCTGCCATCAGGAGTGCGAAAGAACAGAAAATATATTTTGCTGCTGTTCCCACTTATCTTTATTAATATACCTCAAGGGCCTGGGAGACACTTCTCTCATTCAAGTTCATAAACAGACCTTCCTTTTGTGTTCTTGGGGGAAGTGTGATGTTACCCAGACTCGTCCAGACTGAAACCCTGAGTCCCGCCAACCCATGAGCACATACGATTCAGCAGCCTCCTGGAAACGGGTCCCGAGGCCAGCCTGGGAGGGTTAGCATGGCCTGACCACTCTCCCTGCGTCTCCCGTGACCTTTGGCCTCCACTGTCCCCGGCACTCAAGCCCTGAGGTGGCCTAGATGTTCGGTCCAACCTGGCCTTCACGACACTTGCTGGGTTCTCGAACCGTTACTGGGGCTGAATTTGCACAGACGCATCCTTTCCCCCGCCCACCCTGATAGGCATCTAGACAGTGAGGTGCAGTATGGAATTGATGCAGGGGTGGTAACTCAGCGGGTTTCAGACCTGCTGGTATTGGAATCCCCATGTGAAGGATGGAGGTTTTGTGGCCGGATGATCTCACTACAGTTCCTTTGGTCCACACAGAGACCTCTTACCCTCACCCTGGCCCTCACTCGTCTAGTGAGCTTCCAGGAGGGCCCCCCTCCCACCCGAGTTATACCTCACCCTGTTCTTGTCCCTCCCGTGGGAGACGCATGTGTGTGCACGGGTGAATGGATGGCACTGGGAACACTGAGAAGTCCCTCACGCCACATCTACTCTCTACGCTGATTGTGAGCACAACTCGGGGGCCCTCCCCATCACCCCCTCTGCGGGGAAAGTGCTCGCTCGAGCGGTCTTCTATCCGTCCCCACAAACGCCCCCAGGGTTGCACACTTCCTCCCAGAGAGTGTCCCTGTGATGCCAAAGGTACCAGTGACCCCAGGGAACAGACCTGACCCAAGGGAGCGAGTGGCTGTGTGATCACACTGCATGGGGAAGCGTGTGACAAGTTTGACAGGAAATGCAAAAGGTTACCGGGACTGGTAGTGGCCGTGCATGGCTGGCAAGCTTGGGAGTCAGGGAAGCCACCCCACGCCCTCCGGAAGAGGTGCCCTTTGGGTGAGCTCCCAGAGGGAGGGCGCGAGCACAGGGCGGAGAGTCCGGGGAAAAGTCTCCAAGGTGCCAGAGGCCCAGAAGAGCCCTCCGCGTCACTGGGAGGGGAGAGCCAGGCTGGCTGGCTGCTCAGAGCACGGTCAACTCCCTTGCTGGAGGGACTTGGGGCTGGCCATGGTGAGGGGCGGCGGAGAGAAACAGGCCTGTGTGTCCAGGGTGGTCGAGAGGACTAACTGAGATAGTGCAGAGAAAGCGCCCACTAGAGAAGGTCCCAGAAAATAGCCTTTTGTTCCTAATTGTTTTTAATCTGTAAAGAATTATCAGCAATTATTTTGTGCATCCTTTTGTGACAAGGCACTCACTTTATGCTCCGCCCCTCTCGGAGAGCCCGGCAAGCTACCGAGAGTATTCGATATGCCAGACACAGTAACAACAAAGTCTCCAATGGAGACGTTACTGGGCCCGCTCGAGCAAATCGACGATCAACGGGAGGGCCTTTATGCTGTATATGACTTGTAAATATGCATGGCTATATACAGAAGCAACTTGCACACACACACACACACACACACACACACACACACACACACACACGCATTTATCCATACCTTTCCCTTCCATGCCACTGTGATGTTGCAGTGAAAGTGTTCGCTTAAGTCACAGTTTTATAAATCAAGCTTATTTCAAGAGCACCAGATACGTTTCTTTTTTAAAGAGTCTGTTATACATCTCTTATAAAGAGAAGCATCTTGGGAAAACAGGGTCACCCATCCCAAGGGAACTGTTTATAGAATCTGGGTTTTCTTGGTTCTATCATACCATACCAAGAAGCTGCTCAATGAAATATTTTCGGCTGTTCTTAGTTGTTTTTTTTTCCCTCCCTTTATCAGAATTGCTCAGCGTTAAGCAAATCTAGAGATGTCCTATACAATCTGTTTTGATTATTTTCACATTATTTTGACTTGTTTATAAACACATATTTGGTATAGTTGCCTGGAAGACAGAGACAAAGGGTTGGACTTGATTTTTTTTTTCCAACTGCATACCAGAGGCAGAACAGGAAATTAAACTTGGCCGCGGGCCACGAACATTGCTTTCTCTGCTTCCACCCTAAACAATATTTGCTTTGCTTCTGTTCCTTCGGAGTTCAGCAGGGGTGCCTGGTCGCCTGGCTCTGAGACACGGAGCCGGCCACCGGAGTGTGAGAAGTGGCGTTGCTGGGATCCTGGTTCCAACTGTCCACTGCATGGACACTCTTGGCTGGGAAAGAACCGCTCTGTCCTTTGGGCTCATTCAGAAAGATTTGGTGAAGAAGTAAGACAAGCCCCGGGACAGAGGGTCTCTCTAAGCAGATGTTCAGGCCTGGTCGTGGGTTCTGTGTCAGCAAGCCCGGAATCACCAGCATTGTCACCACTCTCCTCATGGAGGGGATCTACACTGGGTACCGATACGAGTTCAGACTCCAAACACTTCGCTTTCTCTCTGTTTCGACTTGGGTGGGAAACGTACACGAATAATTAGTTCCCATACTGTTTGACTCCAAATGTACTTGGAAATCGTTTCCAGTGACATTTGGCTCCATTTGGATGAAGAGCTGATCACTCCAAATGGAAAGAAATGACGGTGTTTGAGATAAGCATGTTTTTTTGGGGGGTGTTTTTGAATGCACAGTTTATTTGCAAGAAGAGTAACTTTAGGCGAGAGAGGAATCCAAGTAGCTGAGTCATTCTAGCTTGGCGAGGCACAGGGAAAGGCCGAGGGGCTTCTAAGAGTCAGAGACAGAATCCTGGGTGGGGTTGTGGGCTTTTGGGGGGAACCAGGTGACCAGGCTCAGGGGCATCTTTAGCTGAGAGGTTTGCACTGCATCAGGCCGATGAGTTCAGTTAAGGCACTGTGATTACAGAAGATGTGGGCGTGGGCCGTGGGGGTGCAGTGGGGGGCATGTGTGTCTTCACCAGTGGGGGCCTGCTTAGGGGCCATTCCAAGCCGGTATCCAGTGGGTGGGGCCCTAGAGCCCCACAGAGGTGCCCCCTCTAGAGTGTGCCTTATTCGGAGGAAGGACCCCCACCCCACCTCTCCGGGACTGTTCTGAGGTAAAAACATCAAAGAGGGGGGGCATTTGAGGGGACCCTCTAGGGAAGAGATAACTCTGAACTTTCCTCTGTGGAAGCACAGGGCTGATGGCCTGGGGAAGGGGAGCCCCTGACTCCCGGGCCTGTCACGGGTAAGGAACACCCCTGGAAGATAAGGCTGGGCACGGGCCCCCAATGGCAGAGCATCTGTGAGGCCCTCACCTGCTTTGCCCACCATAGAGGCCCCGCGGAAGGACAGCGCTGCCGAGCTCAGAGCCTGGCGGGAAAGTGACTTGGGGGGACCCAGCTACCCTTGGGGGGACCCATCTAGCCCTGCTCCTGCGTGGGTGTCTCCCTGTGCTGGGACAAGAGCCCCCTTGGCTCTGTGGTACCATGTTTGTCATCACCGACAGAACCAGGAACAGGGGGCCCAGCTGGCCCCAGTGCTCAGAGACCCCAGCCTGGGCATCTGAAACTGATTTGGAACATCAGATGCTGTGCCATGGAATGCCAGGAAGCCCATCTGGTGGGGCTGCGGCTGCATCACACTGCCCCAGAGGGCCGGGCTCCATTGTGCTCCACAGCACCCCTGCACCCCGATAAAGTTCCCAGTCGGGGGCCTCCCGGCCTGGTTTTTTGCCAGAAAAATCCCCTCCTGCCTTTTCTTCAGAGTCCTATTGTGGCAACTCTCGCGGTCCAGAAGCTTCACTCTTGTCTCTGTGAAAGATGGTTGTGAGGTATCCGGGTGAGACACGTTCCCCAGCCTTATCCCACACTGAAGCTCCTCGGCCTGGGTCCCTCTCTGGCCCCGGGCCCTCATTTAAAACTGGTCTCCAGGCTGGAGAGATAGCACAGCGGGGGTCGGGCGTTTGCCTTGCACGCAGCCGACCCGGGTTCAATTCCCAGCATTCCATATGGTCCCCCTGAGCACTGCCAGGAGTAATTCCTGAGTGCATAAGCCAGGAATAACCCCTGTGCATTGCCGGGTGTGACCCAAAAAGCAAGACTAAATAAATAAATAATAAATAAATAAAGCTGGTCTTAGCTCAGCCTGGGACTCCAGCCTGCGCTTCATGCCCCCCCACCATGCATGCACACACACCACACACACACACACACACACACATATGCACGCCTGTCTGTATGCACACATGAGCATGCACACACACATCTTTTTGCCCACACACGCACACGCACACATATATGCTTGTGTGCACACATGTATGTCTGTATGCAAGCATGCACACACACGCGCACACACACATGCACACACACATACCTGTACTTACCGCGCACATACACACACACGCACATCTGTATGCACACACATGCGCACGCACGCATATATGCTCACGTGCACACATGCACGTC